TATTGATTGTTAAATAAAATACTGTTTGGCCAATGAGACAGGAAGTTAGACAGGACTAGAAGTCAAAGAGGATTCTGGGAAATACAGTAGAGAAGTGGTGATCCAGGCAGGAAGTGACATATCAAGGAGACTCATATTTAAGCGAAGGAGAAACAGGAAGGGCTCTCTTTTCCTCTCTGCTCCTGCTCTAGCAGCACAATGTGAGCCACCGGCCAGGAGGAACACCAATAAGGCGTCCAATAAGATAAGTCTTATAAAATATATAGATTTATGATAATTAAGACTGAGCTAACAGATAAGAAATCCTAGTCATTGGCCAAGCAGCCTTGAACCTAATACAAGTTTCTGTGTATTCATTTGGGCCTAACACGGGCGGGTGGCAGGCGTAAAGCTCAGACATGGTGTTGGAGCTCAGGCGGCTTTTGGCAGAAAGATTTATCATAACAGAGACAGACATCCACAGATATACACTGAGCTGAAATTGGGAATTTAGTTGAAGAGAGGGAGGAATGAAGAATAAAGGGGTCTGTACCAGGTTGGAGAAACCCACAGGAACAGGTGGCCTGAACAAGGGAGAGCACCTCGACCCCGGATGCTGTCGGGGAGGCCAGTACAAGACTGATCCAGATCCCTGAACATGGATGTCAATAAGGAGGTCTCTGCACTCCAGGGAGCCTCTAGTGGTGGATTAGTATTTTTCCCTGGTGCAAGAAGGGACTTTGAGAGCCCATCCCACATGAAAGGTTACACTCTAGCCCTGGACACACGGGGAAGGGTCTAGGACAGCACAGGGAGATTTGGTGGACTTTGCAGAGCCCCCATTGAGAGCCTTACCCTGCCTGGGGAGTGGTGGGTGGATTCAGTGGTATGTGGACTGGGGGTATGGGAGGAGGGATGGGGGTGAGGGGAGGGAGATGGAGAAGTGACTTACATGTGAAACAAGCTTGTTCCCTAACTGGAACTAATAAATAAATTTTAATAAAAAAGGAAAGCATCTTCAACAAATGGTGCTGTTATAACTGGATGTCATTATGCAGAAGATTGCAACTAGATCCATATCTATCAGCCTGCACAAAACTCAAGTCCAAGTGGATCAAAGACCTCAACAGAAATCTAGTTACCCTGTACTTGATAGAAGAGACAGAGGGAAGGAGCCTTGAACACATAGGGACAGGAGACCACTTCCTATATATAACATCAGTAGTATAGACACTGACAGCAACAATCAATTAATGGGACCTTTTGAAACTGAGAAGCTTCTGTAAGGCAAAGGACACTGTCCATAAGACAAAACAAACAGCCTATAGAATGGGAAAAGATCTTCACCAACCCTCATCTGACAGAGGGCTGATCTCCAAAATATATAAAGAACTCAAGAAACTAAACATCCAAATACCAAATGGTTCAATTTTTAAAATGGGGGTACAGAGCTACACAGAGAATTCTCAACAGAAGAAACTCAAATGGCCAAAAGACATTTAAGGAATTGCTCAACATCCTTAATCATCAAGGAAATGCAAATCAAAACAACTCTGAGATACCATTTTACACCTGTCAGAATGGCTAAGATAAAAAAATACTGAGGACAGCTTATGTTGGAGAGGATGTGGAGTCAGGAAAACACTCCTCCACTGCTGGTGGAAGTGCAAACTTGTACAGCCACTTTGGAAATCAGTATGGTGGTTTCTCAGAAAAAAATGAGAGTCAATCTACTTACCACTCTTGGGCATATACCAAAAGGATGCTCAATCATATCACAAAGACACTTGCTCAGCTATGTTCATAACAGCATTGTTCATAATAGTCAAAATCTGGAAACAACCTAGATGCCCCTCACTCAAAGAATGGATAAAGAAACTGTGGTAATTTACACAATGGAGTCTTACTCAGCTGTAAAAAACAATCACATCATGAAATTTGCAGGCAAATGGGTAGAACTAGAAAAAGCCAGCCTGAGTGAGGTAACTCAGACTCAGAATGACAAACATGTTATATATGCACTCATATGTGAATAGCAGATAGAATCAAATTATAACCAGTCAACAATCCACAGCTCTAAAGAGGCTAGGTCACAAGGAGGACCCTAAGAGGGATACATTGATCACTCTGGGAAGGGAAATTAGATAAGATCTCCTGGGTAAACTGGGGGTGAGGGAGACAGTAGAGGGGAGGGGATGGGGATGAGAACATGAGGGAATGGGATGGTCAAGTCGAGGGAGTGACTGAGAGGGAGAGCAATGAAAGAGATATCTTGACAGAGGGAGCCATTATGGGGTTAGGGAGAAACCTGGTGCTAGGGAAACTCCCAGGAATCCACAAGGATGATCCCAGCTAAGTCTCCTAACAAAAGTGGAGAGGGTGCTTGGACTTGCCTTTTCCTGTAGTCAGACTGGTGAATATCCCAACTAGAATCATAGAGCCATCATCATCCAGTAATTGACAGAAGCAAATGCAGAGATCCACAACCCAACACCCGGCAGAGTTCCGGGAATGTAGGTGGAGAGAGGAGGGAATACACGAGCAAGGGAAGTCATTATCATGTCAGGGAAATCTACAGAGACAGCTGAACCAAACTCGTGGGAACTCAAAAACTATATTGACAACTATGGAGCCTTCATGGGAAAGAATTAGGCCTTCTGCATGTGGGAGATAATTGTGCATCTGGGTCTATTTGAGGGGCCCCTGATTGCAGGACCAATATCTATCCCTGGTGCATGAACTAGCTTGTTGGAGCCCATTCCTTAGGATGGGATGCCATGCTCAGGCTTAATGAAGGGTGGAGGGACTTGGTCTTGCCTCAACTTAATGGCCCTAGCTTTGTTTAACCCCCCCCCCATGTGAGCCCTTACCCTGTGATAAGAGTGGTTGGGCTGGGTTGGGAGGAGTGGTGGGAGGGATATCTTGTTGGAATGCAAAAATCAAATAAAAACAACTTAAAAAAAACAAACCTTTCCCACTTATAAGCTATTAATTTAGGCATTTTGCCACAGTGATGGAATGGTAGCTAGTAAAACATCCTTACCATTTGATTCCATGACATACTAACTCTTAAATATGGCTTAAGGATTTTTTGGCTTGAATAACTAAGAAGATTTTGAGTACACAGGAGGATAGTACCAAGCATCCAAAGGTGTTTACCCATCATCTGAGGTGAGAACTGAAGGAGCATAGTCCCAGTCTTCCTCCTCAGCAGAAATATAATGTATCCAAGTTTTAGGGTACTTCTTGGCAACAGAGCGAATTTGGATAAAAGGAGAGTTGCCATCATCCAATATGAACATGTCCATTTCTGAATCAAGATCATCATCATAATCTTCCATTTCCTCATTATTTTTCTTCTGCCATTGGGGTTCCTCAGGGCAGCTATCTACTTTGACATAAGCTTCCATGCCATCTGTAGTCAGACAACCCAAACAATGTCAGGAGATTGTTTCTCTCCTTCCTACCTTTTCTTCTTATTTCTCTATAGCCCCTCTATCATGTGTATCATTTTCCTGTACTATAACATATGGATAAACCCCCCATTAAATGACAGTATTTTGATATTGAACTTCCTGGCCTCTTCCACTGTGTGAAACAATAACTTTGTATATTATAAATTATCCTATTTCTGATATTCTGTTCTGGCAATGTAACAGACTAAGCCTTAAATGGACATAACTAAATAAGAGTTATTAGGTTGATCCAAGACAAAAAAATGAACAAAGTTAATAAACAAGAAGAAAATGAAAGTAAAATGATTATTCGATATGAATCTGCACAACTACTACCTACAATGTCTGGAATTGATACTATAGACATACTTGTTTACACAGGACCTTTGCTCATTGCAAAACCTCTATCAAATAGTCCTTTAAAACTTCATGTGATACCTCATTTCCTTGGATTTCTCATCTCTTCTCATAGTACTGAAGCCTAGTTAAAGGGGTCAGGCTGAAAAACTAACAACATACTGTCCTCCATTTTTCCTGTATCATTCATCTCTAAACTATGTCTCTTCCTCCTGTCACAGATATTTAACTAAAAACCCACAATTATATACTCAAGATAAAAATCTTTACACTAGAAGATTTCAGTAGGCATCTAACAATCCTAACTCTATAAATGGCATTTCTGCAACACATTGTATTGTACACTGCCCAAGAAATTACATTAAAATTCGACACAATATTTTATAATACTCATTTTAAGATCCAAAGTAGTAGTACCATGCCTATGGGAAGAGATATGACAATATATCAGGAACTGTCCAAGATCTATCAAGAGTGTCTGAGCAGTAAGGAAAGTTATTGGTGATATTTCCAAGGATGCCTGGCGGTGGTTCCTCACAAGAAATGTGTGACCTTCGAGGAATATTGAGTGTATTTCAGGGGCAGTTCCCATTCCAATCACATGCCAGTAGACTGATTTCCTATGGCATCCAATCAGACCTGTAAAATGGGAATAAGACAGTTATGGCAAAGAAATAAGGAACTTGAAATTGAAAGTACTTGCTAGAAGAGGATGGGCAAAAGGACACTATAAATTTTACTGTTACCTTAACTTATAAATAAAGTTACCAAGGAAGTTAATTATGTCACTGTTAAACCAACAGCTCTTGCCAAAGCCATGGATGACTATCATACTGCTAAATATGAGCATGTTTCTTGAATTTACTTTTTAGTTTTGCTGTAGTACATATTCAGCAGTTGCTAAGGCCTTCCATGGCAGACAACAGTTTTTATTATTCCCCAAAGCTGATCCATCATTTGGCTCTAAATTCTAGCTTGAAAATAATCTTTCATCTAGATCTCTTTTAAAAAATATTGCTCTACTATGTTGTTGGTCTAATTCCTCTTCTTTGGTATATAAACAATTTCTTCCAGGAAAAGCTTCAAACATCTTATCTTGGCACTCCAAATTGTCACAATTATAATTTTGTGTGGGGTTCTGTTTTTATTTATACCAATAGTAGTAGTATTTCTGAATATTCATATCTTTTATTTGTTAGCATTTGTTTTTATTGTTTTCTTAAAGTCAATTTAAAATGTATTCTCAACAAACAGTGACTGCACTGAGCAGACCAAAATGTGACTAACCTCCCAGCTGGACACTAGGCTCTAGGCCCTAGGCCCCAGGGCAAAACAGAGGACCTTCCCTAACCAATCTCAGGTGCACTAGTGGGTCAACCCGTAAGGCTTCTGTGCGCAGGCTGCTCTACCCCCATCCCATCAGACTCTCAAACTCTGTAATCTATAAATCCCACTCCATCCCAAACCCACCTATCCCCCAAGACCTACCTATGCCCCAAGAGGTCAGCAGCTCCCTGAGACACAGACAGTGACTGCACCAATAGAACCAAGAGTACCTCCCTGAGACACAGATACCCATTGCACTAACTGGACCAAGAGGAACAGACACTGCCTGCACTGACTGGAGGAAGAGATGGGTAGACATTAGTGTAACAATACTTTCAATAACCTTAAGAGCAATATGGCACCATAACATAGTGGTTGTACAACAGTAAGACTTGAACATCCCAATGCAGAAGAAGCAGAAGGAAATGACCTTAAAAATAATGGCTGTAAACAAACTTTATGAAGATGATAGAGACATTTAAAGATGAAATGAAAAATTCCATTAAAGAAATAAAAAATCAAACAAAAACCTGGAAGAAATGAATAAATCTCGTAAGTAAAACTAAGGAAAGCAATCTAAGTGAAGGAAACACTTCAAGAACTGAAAATTGAAATAGAGGCAATAAAAAAATAAAACATGCTTTCTGCCGACCGATCCAGGAACTAGGTGAGTCTCTGCCCTTACCAAACTCCTGTGCAAACCATCACTCAGCCCTACCACCACCCCACCTGCACCTCCCGGCTTGGAGAAGACACACCCAGGCAGGGAGGAGCTCCCTGCTCCCTGACTCTAATAGCACCCCACTCTTCCATCCTTTCCGCAAACCAACCCAGGAACGAGGTGAGTGAGCCTCTGCCATTACCCAACTCCCACCCAAAATATCACTCACCCCGACCACCCCCCCACTTGAGCCTGCTTTCTTGGGGAAGACACGCCCAGGCAGGGAGGACCTCCCTGCTCCCTGAATCTGGTAGCACCCCACTCTTCCATCCCTTTCTGCCAACCGACCCAGGAACGAGGTGAGTGAGACTCTGCCCACACCAACCCCCACCCAAACCATCATTCACCCCGACCACCCTGGGCATGCACCCGCCTGCTTGGGGTAGACACACACAGACAGGAGGTGCTCCCTGAATCTGGAAACACCCCACTCGTCCATCTCCTTCTTCCAACCGATCCACAACGAGTGAGGAGACTACCAGGAGAGGCAAGACCATCCAGAGTTGTGGACACTGAATTCCTGGCCCCCACACACCACTGGGTCACAAAGAGGAGATAGAGAGACCCCACCTGCACCCATTAAAAGAAGATATGGGAAGAAGACAGAATAAAATTTCACTCAACAACAGAAAGACCAATATGACA